TTCCAAAGAAAATAGAGTCGCAAGAAATTCAGGATGGAATTCGGGATTTGGAGAGTTATGATGATATTCCAGAAGAAGACGACTTAACTAAATTTGAATAAATGTAGATTGTTGTACCATACTTAAAAAAAAATAACACATCCCCTGAAAATAAGCCCTAAGGTGTCTTCTTAAGGAAAAATAAATATAAGACCTTGTCTTATTTTTGCGGAAACATGGTAGTAATTAGGCCATGAGAGCTCTAAACAACTTCCTCTTCTCACACACACACACACACACACACACACACACACGCACATACACATGCACATACACACAGGTTTGTAGTGCTATTGTATGTAAAAGACAAATTAACTTATACAATAAGGATTGGGAGCTTGGTGTCTTAAATTGATTCCCTTGTGAAGTTCTTCTTGTGGGGCCTCTGTCTGTGGTCTTGATCAATGGGTGGTATATATTAAAATATGTGAGACCTCAGAAAGCTGGATAGGTTGAATGTGGATATAACTAAACAAGAGGGAAGTCATCAAGTATTGTTGAGCTATGGGAATGACCCTGAAGCAAAACTATTGTGTTTCAATCTAGCTCCAACATATAGTAGCTGTTTGATCTTGGGAAAGTTACCTTAGACCTTCTCTTCAGTTTCATCAAATGTTAAATGTGGTTTCTGTTAGTGTATATATATATATTATCAAATTGCTCTGGGGATTAAGTGGGTTCCTATTTGCTAAGCATCTACATTTGTGCCTAACAGATAGGGCATGTGAGAAAAGTTTGTGTAAAATGAACGAGAGCTTTCTGTTGCAGCAGGAGACACTAGGGTGTAAGTGGGTTTCCTCACATTTGCAGAGCACAAGCAGACCCTGGCATGACCTCGGTACGTTTGCACTTCTTCAGCTCCTTTCTTCTCTAGTCTAACATTTGCAGACTGGCTGTGGTTTGCATGCTTGCCAAAGATTTAAATAAAGAAATTATCTTTCTATAATAATCCTAAAATATCTATTATTAATACAAGGATGGAAAGCAGGGAATAGCTACTAGAAGATGGTCAATAGCATCAAATGGCAGCCATATCCTTGAAACTTCCGAAGCCTTATTGGAGTCTTGTCAATAAAGTGCCCCACTTTGGGACATATCAACACTAGGTGTCCAGGATACCGCTTTCCCATCTATCAGAAGACGTCATAAGGAAACATGATGAGAAAATGACTATGATGGGAATATGATGAGAAATGAGCTTCTTGGAACCTTGTAAAACTAGGTCTTAGGAGAGGACCTTGAGGATCCTTAGGACAATGAGATAAGTCTTCAAGGGATGGGAAATATGGCTTCTATGAAATATTTATCACTTTGTAACCAAAGTGACTGTCAGTAAATGTTATCAGTTTTATTGCCTAGCATGTGGAATTTAGCAAGCCAATAAGGATAACTATCTCAGGTGATATACAGATATTGGAGGCAATAAAGATTTTTATGAGAGAACTATGTAAATTATTTGTTTTAAATCTCTCTTTTATGTTGTGCTAGCTACAATATATTCTATTGTTTATTTTTAAGTATTTGATTTTTTTACCTGAAAAGTTAGTCCTTGTTTGAAGTCTTCTTGAAGTATGTATAGAAGAACTCTCACATTTTGAAAAGATTCTGCCACAATGTATTTATTGGTTATAATTTTGTAATAATTATTTTTTTCATTTTTTACAAGATAAACCTATCATGATACCAAATATTCTGAAGTCCTTCTTCCTGCATTCTTTGGTAAGTTTGAAGAATATGACTCACTCTCTTACTTATAGGGGAAAAAAAGACATCTTTAATAGGTTTAAGCTTTCTAAGAAAGCCCAACTACTTTTTAGTAAATGCAGAAATAAATTAGATTAATTTAACAAACACATATAAACCTGCCAGTTAGAATAAATAATGTTAACCTTTGTCATCTTTGCTTAAAATTATTAGTTTTATAAGAAATTATTATAAATTCTCCAGGCAAACACTTGGGTAAATTTTTCTGTATATATGCGATGATGTAGCAAAAAGTCCCTTGCCAGAATCTGGCAACTTGATCTTGCACTTTCTCTCAAGAAATGGGATAAAATAAATTTGCATTTATTGAAATTTACCAGGTCTTGAGTATTCTTTTATAGCACACAAAATGGCCATCAGGTAAAAGAAAAAATGCTCAATATCACTAATCATTGGGGAAATGCAAATAAAAACCACAATGAGATATCCTCTTACTTCAGTTAGATTGGCTATTATTAAAAATAAAAGAAACAAATGCTGATGAACATGTGGAAAAAAGAAAAATCTTAACACTATTGGTAGGAATGTAAAATAGTATGACCACTATGGAAAACAGTATAGAGATTTTTCAAAAACATATAAAAATAGAACTACCTACCATATGATCCAGAAATCCCACTAGGTGTTTATTCAAAGTAAGATAAACTGTATACCATGAGATACCTGCACTTGCATGTTTATTGCTGCACTATTCACAATATCAAAGATATGGAATCAATCTAAGTGTCCATCAACGGACAAATGGATAAAGAAAATGTGGCACATACACACAAGGGGATACTCTTAGGCCATAAAAAAGAATGAATTCATGTGACTTGTAGCAACATGGATGGAACTGGAAGCCATAATGTTAAAGGAAATATGACAGACACAGTAAAACAAATATCCCATGTTTTCAGTCATGTGGGAGCTGAAAAAGTTGATTCATTGAGATAGAAAGTAGAATGTTAGATACCAAAGACTGGGAAGGGTATGTAGGTAAGCATTGTGAGGATGAAAGGAAGTTGATCAATGGGTACAAACAGTTAAATAGAAGATAAAATTTCCAATGTTCTATAGCAGAACAGGTTGACTATAGTCAGCAACACTGTGTGGTCTATATCAAAGAAGCTAGAAGAGAGGAATTGAAATGTTTCTAACACATAGAAATGATAAATACTCAAGGTGATGAATATCCAAAATACCCTGACTTGATAACTACTCATTTTGTGCATGTATCCCATAATATGTAAAATATTATATATCAATAAAAAGTAAAATAAATAAAAATGATTGATTTGCCTAATCCAAGTAGAGATTTTTTGGCAATTTTGAATTTCCGTATGAATATTAATATAAATCTGTCAATTTCAGCCAAAGGAACACTTGAGACTCTAATGGGGATTGTGATAAATCTATAGATCAATTTGGGGAGTAATTCACCTTAAATATTAGATCTCTGATCTATGAACACAAGATATCTTTCCATTTGTTTAGGTCTTCTCTGATTTTATTTAGCAAAGTTTTGTGCTTTTGAGTGTACAAGGTTTTACTTGTTTTGTAAAATAAATTCCTAAAACATGCATACTTTTTGATGTTATTGCAATGACATTGTTTTTTTTTATTTTAAACTGTTCACTGCATGCATGTGGCTTCTCATAGAGAATGTTTTTAGTGTGCTTGAAAAGAATGTGTATTTTGCTGGTGTTAGGTAAAGCATTCTGTAGATGTCTGTTTAGTCTAGTTTATTTAGAATATTTTCAAGAGTTCTGTTTCCCTGTTGAACATCTAAGGGTTCCAACCATTACTGAAAGTGGTGTGTTGAAGTTTCCAATTCTATATCTATTTCTCCATTAATTTATATTAGTTTTTGCTTCATGTATTTTGGGGCTTTTTAGTTATGTATACATGTGTGTGTATAGTCATCATAATTTTTTAAAGAGTAACCACTTTATCATTATAAAATGCTCCTCTTCTACTCTAAAAATATTCTTTTTATTTTACATTCTAATGCCTGATGTTATAACAGACACTGCATGGTCAGACACTTATATGGTTGCCATTTGTGTGATGCATCCTTTTTCATCCTTTTACAGTGAAGCAATTTGTGTCTCTGAAGAGAAGCCATATCTCCTATAGATAAAATATTGTCAGATCTTGTTGTTGTTGTTGTTGTTATTGTTTTAATATAGACTGACAATAGGTAGTTTTTACTGGATAGGTAGTTTTTACTGGACAATAGGTAGTTTTACTGGTAGTTTTTGGTCCATCATACCACATTTAATGCTACTATTGATATTATTGCTGAATGGGCTGAATTGTGTCCCTGCAAAATTGATTTATAAAAATCCTAACATTCAGTACTTTAGGATTTGACTGTTTTGGGTCATAGAATCTTTAAAGAGGTTATTAAATATGCTGGGACATTTTATTTATTTAATTTATCTGTTATTTAATTATTCATTCAATGAGTGTCATTTAACAAATTTTGTTGGCCTTTAAGACTTTAGTCTTCTACCACCAATGCATTTAGCACTCTAGACCTACAAATTCTCCTTAAATTATCAATTCAGTCATGGCTTTAACTTGCATAACTGAGAACAGATGTAGTCTCCTCAGACCACAAATATGTGAATCCCTCTAGAGAACCAAACACTCTAGCCATCTGTGGATCAGTAATATAATTATTTCTATAACTCACACTGAGTCCATGCTAACATATGAGTTGTAGGTAAAATCTTTATCTTTTTAATTTTGTCATAGGAAGGCCACAACATGTTCGTAAGTCCTACACTCATGATATGTGGATGGAGATTTAAAAAGTATAAGGGCCTGGCCAGGAGCAGTGGCTCACGCTTGTAATCCTAGCACTCTGGGAGGCCAACGCAGGAGTAAAACTTGAGCTCAGGAGTTCTAGACCAACCTGAGAAAGAGTGAGATCTTTCTCTACTAAAAATAGAAAAATTAGCCTAGTGTGGTAGAGAGCGCCTGTAGTCCCAGCTACTCTGGAGACTGAAGCAAGAAAATTGCTTGAGCCCAGGAGTTTGAGTTTGCAGTGAGCTATGATGATGCCACTGCACTCTATCCAGGTGACAGAGTAAGACTCTGTCTCAAAAAACAAACAAACAAACAAAAAAACGCAAGCTCTTCACTTCCATTCGAAACAACCATGCTTTGGATATGGAGATAGCAGACACAGAAGACAGCAAAATCTGGGAAAACATTTTTATTTGCTTTGTTTAAGGGATCCAAAGACTGGGGTGAGTAAGATACTGAAGGTCAGCAATGCAACTCAGCAGGAAAGAGAGAGTCTGGATTGAGTTGGAGAGATGATCCAGGTTAATTTTTAAATTGTAATAATTGGAGGACGAGTTGTAGACATTTATTTTCCAGTTGCCTTTAGTTTTTGAACTTGCAGACAAAGGAGAACTTTGCGTCACAATTCTGATCCCGCCATTTCCTGTATCCTATAAGCCAAGGAGAAGAGTTAGACTGAGAGGACCAGAAGGAGGGTGGCCTCTCTTGGCTCTAGGACTTAGGACAAGAAACAAGAGGAAACACTCTTCCATTTCTGGGATCAAGAGCTCACCCTTCCTCTAACCCCATCCCCAGGTACATGCCCAGAGCTAAGTAGGAGAGGAGGATAAAAGATGGGGGTATTCTCTGCCTCTCACCTGAGCTTGAAGAAAGGCTGGCACAGTAGCCAGGACTGACAGTGCTCGGGGCTCCAATGTCCCAGGATTTGTAGGAGACGAGAGACCCACTGCTCCAGTGCCAACGGCGGTTCTAGGTGGGGAAGGGGCAGAACAGGGACAGCGGTCACTCAAAAAGGGAAGAGACACCTGGTCTGTGTGCACACTCAGGAAAAGGCAAAAATATATGGCAAGAATAAACTTGTCTTCCTGAATATCATATTATTTCCTCTGACTTTGCTGTAAGCTTCTATTGTCCTGGAAGATCTGCCTTACACCCTATTCCACCAAACAACGTATCCTGAGTTTGATACTGAGCACCACAAAAGGCCTTACAGAACGTGATTCTTGATTTTTCTTTCCTAAGGCCCACAACCCTGACTAACCAGCATACCATGGACAGTGCATTAGTTGTCAATAGGTTATTTACAATAATACTTTTTTTTTCAAATGCCAGCCATGGATTCTTTTATACTAGTCTCCATTTCTACACAGCCTGCAAAGGTCTCTCTTACAATACATGCAATAATAAAACAGGTAAGAGGTAAGAGGTGATTCATAAAGGTGCTTTGATAAAAGTAGACAGAATAAATTTATCCATGAAGGAAATTCAGCCTTCAGGTTATCTCTAACCACCTACAGTGAAATTCACTACCAGATGTATTATAGGATACATATAGACGTTGCCATTATATATTAAAAAATGATAAAAACTGGTACTTGATGTGCAGATTATTCATGTCACTCTTCCTCCTCTAACCTGATGATTAGGAGGTAAAAGAGGCTGTAAACTAACCTTTTTGGGGTCATAGAGGCCAGTCCAGACATTGTAGTCATTAGTGCCACTTTCCTTAATCAGGGAGGCCACAAAAGCACCCTCAGCCTGGGTGAGCACAGACACCAGGTTGCCCGAATGCATGTTCTGGCAGAAGAGCTGTTGAGGGAGAAAAGCGAGCACTCAATGGAGGAGGAAGTTTTGAGGGATATACTGGGTTGTTCCCAGTATTCATACAGTATATTTCACTGTAGGTTGTGGCAGAAAAAGGACAGCACAGAAATGTTCCTGACAAAACTGTCACTTATCTGCACTGGGAATCAACACGGTGACAGCACAACATACATTGGAAAGTTTGGGGGCCAGTGATGGGTTAGCGAGGTGATAAGTTTTATCTCATTGAAGCCACTGAGCACACAGGGAAGAGGCAGCTGCCCCTAAGTTCGTGAGCCTCCCTTTCCTGCATTGCTCTCCTCACTCACATCTGCATCAACCCAGGTCTCACGGTCTTCGTTAAAGTAGTAGCAGTAGGAGCGATAGGCATTGGTGCCTTCTGGGCAGCTGATCCGGGCATTGGGCAGGTCGGGCTGGGTCTCCTGGCCTGGGAAAGGAGAGACAGAGGAGACTCTCAGGACAGGAAGGCAGGGTAGGAGCTTCTCAGTTTCATTTATAGAAACACAAGGATATAGGAGGTCATAGAGTAACAGATCATTTTTGCTCTCTTGTATCCTACTTATTTTCTGTTTCCTTTGCTCAAGGCAAGATCATACAAGGAACAGACAGAAGAAATGTGTCCCCCCATTTTCCCCCTTCATGTCTGGGGCTCAAGCATCTTCTGCCTTTAAGTAACAGTCTTCTGTCTTTCTCAAGCCTGTTTTCATTTCCTTGCACACAGTCTCTTTCAGTTCTCTACCCATTTAGTGATTCTCTATATAAAAACATCCCCTAACATGCCGTCATCGATGGATTTAATCAGATCAACTAATGCCAACTCCAGTGGTCACTAACAAAGGTTCATTTTAAATTCCATCTTAAACTCCCAAATGAGGTGAGGATGTATATAAATGAGATGAGATCAGCAAGAGAGATAACTGAACAACACAAAACAATGCTTGAAGTTGACTTTGCCTCTTTTTAAGGGAGAGATACACATGGAATTGAGTGAAGGCTTCAGGACTGGAGGCGGGTGGTTGGTGGGGAGAAGATCTCACCTTGGCTCAGAGACAGGAACGTCAGGCAGGAGAGGAGGATCAAGCATGAGCTGGTCTGAGCCATGTTGAGCAGCAGTGAATTTCTTGCTTAAAGAGCAAATCAGCAATCTCTGTAAAAGAACACAGGGCAGAGGGGACTGAGAGCTAGAGGGCAAGGCACTTATTCCCTTCCTTTAGCCTCCACTCTGAATTACGGAGAGCAGGAAGACCCTCTGAGAAACACACGTGCCAAAATATTTCCCTAGTGGTTTGGAGATTATACAGACCGAGTAACCCCAAATCAACTATGGTCCTGCATAAGTTTCACTACTGCTGGAAACTTTTACAGAAAATCACTCTGCATCTTCCCCAAGGTAAAAGGAAGAGCCCATGGTAGAGATGCCCTCCTCTTGTAATGTCCACTTACCTATTGGCTGGGTCTGAGGTGGCTTGTCAAGCCTGACAGTGGTAGGGCTTTTATAACAGGTTCTAAGAGGAATGTCACAGTATTTAGTCAGGGGGTGGGGCCAGAAGTCAAGGTCAGAGGTTCTACACAGGGCACTGACAGGAAGAGATTCTGGTACCAGGAGTAGCCTTTTCCTGGCACAGCCTGGGAGTGGTCACAAATGACATATCTTCCCGCAACAGGTTGGCCAACTATCCAAGTCCAAGGAAGGCTTTGTCTTTCCTCAGCAGTAACCAGGTGCCTTGTTCCCATGGCCCTTAGCAGCCCTGGAAAGAGCAGAGAGGAAAAGATTTCCTTCTATTCCCTGTAAATATGGAGCCCTCTCTTTTGTGTTAGTCCTGGGTAGGGATGAAGGAGGAATCAACTGATTCTAAATGATTGAGCACTATTTGCTGGTTGGTTTAGGTCATTCCTCCAGTTCTTTTCAGACTCAGGAACCTCTCAAGACCTACTTCAAGGGGCAAGCATTAGTAGTTACATAAATTTAAACTAACATTCCCAGTGAGGTTTGGTCATAAGTGGCTAGCATGATATAGATGTTTTCACATTGCAATCAGGAAGGAACTGTAGGGAACTGATCCTAAAGGAAGCTCCAAGTAGCTGGATATGAAGTTAGGCTTCAGTGAAGTTTCTGCTGCAAATTATTGGGAAATTACAGACTGTGTGGTGGAATTAAATACTTATCAAAATCACCATGGACTATCCATTCTGATTCACGGGAAAAAAAGCATATCTAGAACAACAACAAAAAAATAGGATGATAAAAAATTAGCCTAAATATTCACAGAAATAGAGACAAGTATTCAAAATATTTTGAAGTACTAAACAGAAGTTAGATAAGCTAAATCTCTATTTAAACATGGTCTCATCTTAAAAACATACCACTGCAAACAAAAAAATCAGTACAAAAATTTACAAACTAATAATATTCATATATGCTTTTAAAAGACTGAGACTAACACTATGTTATTTATTTATCTATTCTCATGTAGCTTAAAAATAAAAAATCTGAAATAAAAGACATTACAAAAAGTATATCATAGTATCTGCCTGGAGATTTTGTAATGATTTTTTTTTCTTTAAACTAATGATTTTAAACCCAATAACAAAGGTTAACATTGTTTAGTCTAACTAGCAGGTTTAAATGTCTTTGTTAAATTAGCCCAATTTATATCATCATTTTCTAAAACTAATTATGCTTTCTTAAAAGCTTATAACCACAAAAAGATATAGATTTTGTTCTAAAAATAAAAGATTCCGTTATGTTATTCCAAGTTACCAAAGGATGCAGATGGGAGGAGTTCAGTATACTTAGCACAATGGCAGGGGTATCTTGTCAAAAATAAGCAAAGGATTATATTTACACAATTAATATTTTGCAGTATGACTTTTTTCAGTATGAGAGCTTTTCTGTATATCGAGAAGACTTCAAACAAGCAAATACTTTCCAGGAACAAAAAGCCTAATACTTTAAAGTTCATAAATGAACACATTATAGACAGTGTGATATGAAAGAGAAGTTTCAAACAAAAAACAATTGTCACAGTTCTCTCATCAAAATCTTTATTGCCCCCAATACCGTGTACCCATTTAGATAATTACCCTTCTTGCTTACATATGTGACTGGCCAAATTCCACATGCAAGGTAATAAAATTGAAGACATTTACTGGTAAGGTCCTTTGGTTCCAAAGTGATGCTTTTTTTAAGGAAGCCATATTTCCCATTCCTTCAGGATTTACGCCATTGTTCTCAGGATTCTAAAGGTTTTGTGCTCTGAGCTAATTTTACAAGGTTTTGAGAAGCTCATTTTGGGGCTTTCCCATCATATTCCTTCTGCTATTCTTCTCATAGATGGAAAGGAAGATGCTGGATATATATTGTTAATGTGGGCAATAAATTGATAAGCCTCAGTAAGGTTTAGGAAGTTTCAAGGCTATGCTGGATGTTTGGTGCTATTGGCCATCTTACAGTAGCTATTTCCTGTTTTTAACTCTTGTAATAGAGATTTTAGATTTATTGTAGAGAGAAAACCTCTCTCTTGTTTTAATTTATGGCAGGGATGTGAATAACAGACTGTCCACAGACATTACACTGGAGAGAAAAGGATCTGAAGAAGTACAAAATGTACGGAGGACTTTCCATGGTTTTCCTGTGCTCCGCAAATGTGAGAGAACCTACTTATCATTATCTCCTTTTGCTTTACAGGAAAGCTCTAGTTTATTTACCACAGACTTTTATCACATGCTTTATATACCAGGCACTATTCCAAAAGATTAAGAATTAATAGGAAGCCTTTTAGTTCCCATGACAACTGGATAATATAGGTAATCTTAGGAGCCATATTTAATATATGAAGAAATTGAAGGTAAGAGAAGGCCTAAGTAGGGTCTTGTGTTTGATTCCCACGATCAAACAGCTACTTTGTATGGGAGCTAGATTCAAACACAAGCAGTTTTGCTTTACAGTCTTTTTCTTATCTCAACAAAATTTGTTGACATTTTGTTCAACCCATTCAGCTCTCTGAGGCCTGACTCAATTCAGTCTGTAATCCACCCATTGATCACGGCCATGGACAAAGGACCTACAAGAGCTTAAAAAGAAAATAAATTTAAGACACCAGTCGCCCAATGTTTAGCCTGAAAGTTAGTTTACCTTTTGCATACACTAGCATCACAAACTTGGAAGTGTGTGTTTAGAAAAGGGGGAGCTGTTCTTTAGAGCCCTCATGGCATAATGACCACTTAACAACCTCAGCTTTTAATAATATTAGAAAGATAATTAAATTTCAACAGACCTGGTGCCCCACCCCTAGGACCACCCCAACTTAATAAAAGTGGGAAAAATCTGGTAGATGGTGCTCAGAATTGGGTGTCGAGGCCCCTCTGAGCCCACAGGCCAGAATAAACTTTGATTCTCTGACTCTCCTTGTGCCCCTCAGATTGTCCTTGGGACCACCCGCTGTAACACCTGCTGTAACAAATTAGCATAATGGTATTTCCTAAAAGGTTATCTGGCAACCTCTTCTATACTTTTGCCCTCTTCATTGTGAACTAAAACAAAATCTTAAGCCCCCCAGACAACCAAATGGACTGGACAGAACCCCTTCTTGGCCAAGGGAATCTTTAAAAAATCAAAAAAACCTTCCAGCTGAGTTGCCAGCTATGAGGAGAAGCGAGGCCAGACACACCTTAGTTATGCCTTGTCCCTTTTGGAGTTATTCTTTGTAACAACAAGATACAAAATCAATACTGGGCCTAAGGCCACGTAAGGCAAATGTTAAACCACACCTGCAGGTCATCAATTTACTTAACAGATCACGGGAGTCTCAGTATATGTTCAGTGTCATGTCTCTGATTAACAAATTTCTTTATCTTAACTTAAAACCTTCCAAGACTTTCGACAAAGCCTCATTTATTTAACCAATTTTAAATCAAAGAATCTTTAAACCCACATATAACCTCTAAGCCCCTGCTTGGAGATATCCTGCCTTTTCGAGCCAAACCATTGTACACCCTCCATGTGTTGATTTATGAATTTATGTGTAATTCCTGTCACCCTAAAATGTATAAAACCAAACTGTAACCCAACCACAGCAAGACCACTGCTCAGGGCTTCTTGGGCATGGTGGCTCTCCAGGACATGGTGGCACATATTCAGCTCAGAATAAACCTCTTTAAATTTTACAGAGTTTTGGTTCTTTTCTGTTGACATATATCAGGGGTTCAGTTTAGATTTGTGGATTTGCCATGACTTGCAGACATGCCTTTCTTTTTTCTGGCAAAAGGGTCTTTTCGTATGAGAGAAAATCCAGCCTGGGCCCCCAAATCCATGTCTGAAAAGAAAGGACAGAGAGAGAGAGAGTGAGGCCAAACAATGTGGCTTTATTTAGTGCTCCCGGACACAGTTCTGGGGCCCCAAGAGTAGGGGGCCCCAGAAGTCACCTCCATTTGAAGAGAGTGTAGCCTTTTATAACCTTTGGGCCAGGCTAGGGACTTTTGGTGGGAAGAGCTGGGGCGACCTTTGGTGGTCATTGAGAAATAGGAGGGGCTGGCGGTATTTGTGGAATCCAGGAGCCAAAACTTTCTTATCTGGGTGGACATCTGGGTGTGGTTCCTCTCAGCAGAGCCTGGCAGTTTTGTCCTTGGTAGGTCTGGTCTTGTGAGCCTTTTCTTTTTTGATCTAGGGAGAGGGGGGGTGCCCGCCACCAGTCTTACAATGTCCATTTCCCAGTCTCAGGTTTTAAAGCAGATTATATTTCTGCCAATCTTTGGCTAGTGTCAACGTATGGTTTAAAAGGCCTGTGTTGTTTGACAGGTAGTGGCTCTGAATATTTCTATTGGTTTAACTTTTCATGTTTTAGGGTTCATGGATCCTTTAGTCCTACTATCTACCTCATGGAAAACAAACTGAGGCAAAATTAATATAAGTAAAGAGTTTTTTGGAGCCAAGTTTAAGGATTGCAACCTGGGACCACAGATTCAAGTTGTCCTGAACATACATTTCAATTACCAGCAGTTACAAATGTGTTTTTATAGGAAAAAAAGAAAAGGCAGTTCCTAAATTATTTACCAAGAATTTATATTGAAATAACATAAGCTATTGATTGACTATACATTGTTCTTTGTAACACAAATTTTAGGAACATAAAGATGATGGATGAGGCAACCAGTCAGGAACAAAAGGTCTTAAACAATTGCCCCTAGTCATGGGTGCGGGTAGGATGTTGGGTAGGAAAGTATGGGCATAACTGAAGTCCCATACTCATGTCTCTCTGGGCCTGATAATTTTGCATAACACACATAAATTAGACTGCTCTGAGTTACTTTTATTTTCTTACTACAAAAGATAATTCACTCAGATCTTGAGGCTTGGAGTTATTGGATCATTTCTCAAACAAAATTTGTCCCTCTTGCCCATAGAGTCTCAGCTGACAATAGTCCTTGTCAGAGCTCTTCCTCCATGGAATTCTCAAAGGAAGAAATCAAACCTCATCAGCAAGCTAAGCAGATTAACTCACTGGCCCAGATCTAGGAAGTACAGATAGTCTTTCCACTAGACTGAGTTTGAATTTGTTTGGTTCTAAAATGTAAAAATGGAGGAAGGAGGATGGTGGGTAGGCATTTGTGAGCCTGTAGAGACCCAGAGGAGGATGTGGCAATAACTAGGACCTTCAGTGGCGACTACGTATGGCTGAGAAGCTTTCACTGAATAACCACAGAGTGAAAAAGCTGCTGGAGTCCGTAGAGAAAGGAGAGAGCAAAATGTCATGGAGAGGATCATCAAGCTGGGAAATATTTTTGAGTGTCAGCATTTTCCTCCACTATTCAATAATGGTTCAGTCACTTAAATTCTCTGAATGACTGTCACCTTATGAAGGGAACTTGAGGAATGTGTGATGCTATATACCTATAACTTTCCATCCTTTCCAGGTGTTTCACAATTTTGTAGCTTTTCAAGTGTGGGCAATACAGAACCGGTAGAGGACACAGACCTTGGAGTCGGATTGATTGGACCCAAATTCTGATTCTGTCACTTATTGTGATTACTGTGTGACCTTGGCCAAGTCACTTTCTCCTTTTTTTGTGCCTTAGTTTTCTTGCCCAAGATGTCTACCTTCTAAGCACAGAGATTAAAAAGGAGTTAAACAATTAATGCTTATATCTCAGAACATTCAAATTACACTATAAGTATTTGCTCTAGTGGGATAATAACAGAAATATTGAAGGCTAGGAAAGAGTACATTTGAAAATACTGTCCAAGTATATACAGAATTATACTTTAAGCTTTAAATGTCACTATCGTGTGCTTAGCAGAAACTTGGCAATTTTAAGAGTTTGTGAAGCTGACTGAATCACCATCATCATCATTCCCCTCCACCCCTTCCTCCTCACTGTATCTGGCAACAGTTCTGAGGTGGCATTAGAGTTGATTTACTACTATTAATAACTTGAGGCAGTGAGGTGTGAGGTGGAGTCCCCAGATCCTTCAGCTCCTTCCATGGGAATTTCTGTCTCCATAGGGTCCTCTCAGGGTGTGCGTGGCCAGGAGAGGAGGCTCTCTGGAGAATGATGTTGGTGGCCTAGAACATCAGTTTCTCCCTTTCTCCACCTGCCCCTACCAGGTTGCTACACAGCTGTCTTGCTGCTTCCCTTGTCCCCCTGAGTTCCACAGATTGTCCTGCTGCAGCCTCACACACTCTCTGCCCCTCCTCCCAGGGGCCTGCCCTCCCACCCACCATCACTATTCCTGGAAGGGCTCTGCCTTTCCCTGGGCTGCTCAGGGCCATGGGAACTGGGCATCTGGTCACTCCTCGGAAAGAGCGGAGCCTGCCTTGGACTTGGATAGTTTGCCAGCCTGTTTGTGGGAAGGGGACCTCATGTGTGACCTCTCCTAGGGTCTCCCAGGAAGGTGCTCCTCCTGAGACTGGATTTTTTTGTGTAGATGCCCTTCATAGGGCCTCAAACTTCTAGCTTTGCCCTCTGCTTGGAATTCAAATACCAGGCTTTCTTTATAGAGGATGGATCTAGAGGAAAACAGGTACTCTGTCTGGATTTGAAGAATGTGTAACTCTTCTGATACTACATTCTCAAATAAATAAAATAGCTGGTAGCTTGATAGAGTATGTGTTTCTAACTGTTCAAGGATGTGAGATTTTGAGGAGGGAGAGATCATATAGACTTTTTGTTTTTGTAATGGCTAAGTCTTTCCTTAATATTTTGTAACCTTTATTTTTATGAACATATGCTGAGACAGGAAAAAGGGAGAGGTGTTTCCTGTCCTTCTAGGATTTCATCAAAACTTCAAGTTATTTGGCCCCAGTGTTTTGTGACCAGTGGCAAGGATTGCTCATATCGGTGTTAAGCTGGTGGAGAACAAGTCCTCATGCCTCAAACACACACACACAAACATGATTGTGGTGTTGGTATATATAAAATCCAAAATAAATTGTGACTTAACAATTGGGTGTCCAATTTCTTACACTAATTCCCAGGTTAAGCTCTTCTGTGGCCATGGCCATGATAATGCATGGTTATATATTGAAATAACACAGACAGAGAGAGAGACAGATGAGTTGAAAGTGAAAATAACTGAATAGAGGGAAGTCAGCAAGTTTTGTTGAGCTAAGGAAATGGCCCTGAAGCAAAGCTGCTTGTGTTTGAATCTAGCTTCAATACATAGTAGCTGTTTGATCTTGGAGAAGTTATTTAACTCTTCTCTGACCTTCAGTTTCTTCATCTGCTAAGTATGGTTCTGAATAGCACCTATATTATCAGGTTGTCATGGAGATTATGTGGGTTCCTATTTGGAAAGCATTTGGAATAGTGCCTGGCATATAGAGCATGTGATAAAAGTTTGGGGTAAATAAACTAGAACTTTCCTGTGAAGCAGAAGATGCTAAGTTATAAATAGGTTTCCTTACATTGGCAGAGCCCAAGCAAACCATGAAAAGTCCTCGGAGCATCTCATATTTCTTGAGATCCTTGCCTCTCCAGTCTAATATTTGCAGAGATTGTGTTATTCACACGCCTGCCAAGGATTAAAACAAGAGAGGAATAATCTTATGTAACAAATCAAAGTCTCTTATCTCATGTTTGGAAAGCAGGGAATAGCTACTAGAGTATGTATGACCAATAGACTCAAACATCAGCCATAGCCTTGAAATTTCTAAGCAATATTGATTGAAGTAGTGTCAATAAATTGCCTTACTTGAGAACAGATTAAGGTTAGATGTCCAGGAGACTGCTTTTTGTCTATAAGAAGAAATCCAGAGGCAGTATTATGGGAAAGGCCTCACATGATCTTCTGGGAACTTTGTAAAACCCAGTCAGAGGAAAGGACCTTGAAGATCTTGAGGACAATGACATAAATCTTGAAGGAATGGAAAATACGTCTTTCCTGAAAAAGGCATCACTTTGAAACCAAAGTAACCGTCAGCAAATCTCCTCAATTTTTTTTCCTTGCATATGGAATTATGTAAGCAATTATGTAAGTAATAGGGAAATTATCTACATTGGTATGTGTGTTTAAAATACTTAGTTTCTATAAAACAAAGCAAAAAAATACACTCATTGCAAATTCTCCAGGCAAATACTCTGATAAATTTTTGGTGTATTTTTTAATTTAATATGTTTATTTTTAAAACTGCATATGAATTGATCAATAAATAATATTTAATATTAATCTCTATCTTTTAAAAAATATATAAATTTTATCAAATAATTTATAATTTCCTACATCTGACCTTTTTATATTCAATATTATATATATATATATATTTTTTTTTTTTGAGATAGAGTCTCACTCTGTTGGCCAGGCTAGAGTGCCATGGTGTCAGCATAGCTCACAGCAACCTTAAACTCCTGGGCTCAAGCGATCCTCCTGCCTCAGCCTCCTGAGTAGCTGGGACTACAGGCATGCGCTACCATGCCCGGCTCATTTTTCTATATATTTTTAGTTGGCCAATTAATTTCTTTCTATTTTTAGTAGAGATGGGATCTCGCTCTTGCTCAGGCTGGTTTCGAACTCCTGACCTTGAGTGATCCTCTTGCCTTAGCCTCCCAGAGTGCTAGGATTACAGGCGTGAGCCACGGTGCCCGGCCTCAACATTATATTTTGAAACCAGGGCTGTGGATACATAGAAATCTATTTTATTTGATTTAACTTCCTTTTCATATTTGATAACATTTTATTTGTCCATTTATGCCAATTAATCCATCTGCGTTCTTTTTATGAACATTTTCTTCATCCTCATTTTTCATTCTGAATTGTCTTTTGTTTTCTGGATTCCAGTGGGTATTCTGACATGATTCCACTAAGCACTCAATTTTACCACACCATCCCTGACTTCCCACCAACAGATAGCTGAATTCAGAACAGAAACTTCAATGAGGCTCAACTTTATATCCAGCTACCATGAGCTTTCTTAGGCGTCAGCTCCCTACAGTTTCCACCTGTTTGGACTTTGGAAATATCTGTACCTGGCTGGCTACTCACACACAAACCTTGTTGGATGTTTCAGTTTAAATTTGGAACTGATTAGTTGGAAATATTAACCCTAGTCACTTGAAGTAGATCTTAAGAGGTTTCTGAGCCTGAAAATAAATTGAAGAATGACCTAAAGCAACCAGAAAATTGTGCTTAATCATTTGGATTCAGCTGATTCTTCCTTCAACCCTACTCATGACTTACACAAAAGACAGGGCTCCATATTTACAAGGAGTAGAAGGAAATCTTCTCCTCTCTGCTCCTTTCAGGGTTGCTGAGGGCTATGGAAATTGGGCACCTGGTTGCAGCTGAGGAAGCACAAAGCCTGCCTTGGACTCGGATAGTTTGCCAACCTGTTGCGGGAAGATAACGTCATTTGTGACCATTCCCAGGCTGTGCAAGGAAGAGGCTACTCCTGGTGCCAGGATTTTTTTGTGTCAGTGCCCTATGTAGACCCTTTGATCCTTAATTATAGCCCCACCCCTTGAGTAAATGCTGTGATCTTTCTCTTAGAACCTGTTATAAAAGCCCTACCACTGCCTGGCCTGACAAGCCACCTCAGACCTAGCCAACAGGTAAGTGGACATTACAAGAGGAGGGCATCTATACTATGGGCTCTTCCCTCTATCTTGGGGAAGAAACATGGTGATTTGCTGTAAATGTTTCCAGCAGTAGTGAAACGTATGCAGAACCATAGCTGATTTGGGGTTACTCAGTCTGTATAATCCCCAAACCACTAGGGAAATATTTTGACATGTGTGTTTCTCAGTGCACCTTTCTGCTCTCCGGAATTCAGAGTGGAGGCTATAAGGAAGGGAGTAAGTGCCTTGCCCTCTACCTCTCAGTCCCCTCTGCCCTGTGTTCTCCTGCAGAGATTGCTGATTTGCTCTTTAAGCAAGAAATTCACTGCTGCTCAGCATGGCTCAGACCAGCTCATGCTTGATCCTTCTCTCCTGCCTGACATTCCTGTCTCTGAGCCAAGGTGAGATTCTCCACACCAACCACACACCTCCAGGCCTGCAGCCTTCTCTCCATTCCATGTGTATACTTCCACTTACAAAGAGGCAGAGTCAACTTCAAGCATCATTTTGTGTTGTTCAGTCATCTTTCTTGCTGATCTCATCTCATTTATATATATCCTCACCTCATTTGGAAGTTTGAGATGGAATTTAAAATGAACCTTTGTTAGTGACCACTGGAGTTGGCATTAGCTGATCTGATTAAATCCATCTATAATGGCATGTTTGGGGATGTTTTCATATAGAAAATGACTAAAAGCATACAGAATTGAGAGAGTCTGTGTTCAAGGAAACCAAGACAGGCTTGAGAAAGGCAGAAGATTGTTCCTTAGAGGAAGAAGATACGTGAGCCCAGAAATGAAGGGGGTAAATGGGGGGACTCATTTTTTCTGTCTATTCTTTGTGTGATCTTGCCTTGAGCAAAGGAAAGAGAAAAAATAGGTAGGATGAAGGAGAGCAAATGTGATCAATTACTCTGTGACCTTCTATATCCTATGTTTCTACAAATGAAACTCAGACGTTCCTACCCAACCTGCTCTGTCCTGAGAGTCTTCTTTCTGTCTCCCTTCCCAGGCCAGGAGACTCAGACAGAGCTGCCTAATTCCCGGATCAGCTGCCCAGAAGGCACCAATGCCTATCGCTCTTACTGCTACTATTTTAACCCATACCCTGAGACCTGGGTTGATGCAGATGTGAGTAAGGACAGCAGTGTGGAGAAGGGAGGCTCATGAAGTTAGGGGCAGCTGCCACTTCCCAGTGTGCTCAGTGGCATCAATGAGATAAATCTAATCACCTTGCTAACCCATCACTGGCCTCAAATTTTTCAGTCTATGTTGTGCTGTCATCTTGCACATTCCCAGCACAGAGATGCTGGGAGTAAGTGACAGCATCATCAGGAACATTTCTGTGTTGTCCTTTTTCTGCCACAATCCCTGGGAGGACCCAGTATATCCCTCAAACTTTCCTCTTCCATTGATTGCTCCATTTTCTTCCCCACCAGCTCTACTGCCAGAACATGCATTCAGGCCACCTGGTGTCTATTCTCACCGAGGCGGAGGGCGCCTTCGTTGCTTCCCTGATTAAGGAAAGTGGCACTACTGACTGCATTGTCTGGACTGGCCTCTATGACCCTCAAAAGGTCAGCCCACACCCTCTTTTACTACCTAAATATCAGGTTAGAGGGGGAAGAGTGATGTGAAAGGTCTGGTACCTCAAGAACCAGCATGTATCATTTTTAATACATGAAGGCAACCTGTTTATTGGTCCCATAATGTATGGGGTAGTGAGGTTCACAGTAGGTGGTTAGGGGTAAGCTGAAGGCTGAATTTCCTGGCTGTTTCAGGCATTCATGAATAAATTCATTGTGTCTACTTCTAGGAAAACATCTTTATGTACTACTTCTTACCTGTTTTGTTATTGTCTTTCTTGTCAGAAAGCCCTTTGTAGACTATAGAAAAAGAGACTAGTGGGGAAAAATCTACTGTTGGGAACTTGTTATTATGCTCAATAATAACTACTAATATATAGCCAAAAGTATGCTCGATTGTAAGTGGTATGAGCCTCAGGATAGAAAAATCAGGAACCATTTTCTATAGCTGGCTTTTATGGTTTTCTGGATCAAATTCAGAACATTTATTATTTGGCAGAATAGGGGGAGAGAGTTGGACATTCCAGGAAAAAAGAGAAGCTTAGAGCAAAATTAAAGAAACTGATATGATATTCAGGGGGACTACAAGGTTTATTTTTGTCTTATACCTTGGCCTGTCCCTGAGTGTGCACACGGGGTTGGTATTTCTATCTCTTTTTGAGTGACCACTGCCGTTTTCTGGTCCTTTGCTATCTAGAACCGCCGCTGGCACTGGAGCAGTGGTTCCCTGGTCTCCTACAAATCCTGGATCACTGGAGCCCCAAGCAGTGTCAGTCCTGGCTATTGTGGCAGCCTGACTTCAGGCTCAGGTGAGAGGCAGAAAACCTACCCACCTGTTGCCATCCTCTCCTACTTAGCTCTGAGGATGGACATGGAGATGGGGATAGAGGAAAGGTGAGCTCTTGATCCAGGAAATGGAGAAGTATTTCCTCTTGTTTCTTGTCTTGCATCCCATCCCAGAGCCAGGAGGGGCCACACTCCTTCTGGTCTTCTCAGTTTGACTCTTCTCCTTGTCTTGCAGGATACAAGAAATGGAAGGATGAGGATTGTGAAACAAAGTTCTCCTTTGTCTGCAAGTTTGAAAAATAGAAGCATCTGGAATATAGATGTCTACCATTTATCCTGCAATTACTCTGGTGTGAAAAATTAAACCGAACCATTTTTCCAACTCAACTTGAACCCTCCCCTGCTGCATTTGTTCTGCTAATATTCAGTACTTTTACCCACTCAAGTCTCTGGAGCCATAAATAATTAAAATAGACATAGTTTCCCCCAGTGTGCTGTCTTGCATTTGTTCCTTTCATAGTAATGCCTGGGTGGTTGGGTATAAGTGATTGTAAGCTCTAGAACTTGCTTTGGCACAGCCAGTTTTCAAAAATACATCTACATATCATGTATGTTGGACTTATGAACATACATGTGGTGGCCTTGCTTATGACAAGGTTAAGAAGATAAAGATTTCACACACAACCCACATGTTAGCATAGATCCAGTGTAAAGTCCACAGATAATTAAATTGTGGACCCATGGATTGCTGGAGTATTTGAAAGTCTGGAGGGACTCATATACTCTGGGGCTGGGGAAGCCACATGACTTCCAGTTCCATCCAGCTTGCTACAAAAGACATGATTCCATTTTTTTTTTAATGGCTGAATAGTATCCCATGGTACATACATATACAACATTTTCTTTATCCAGTCAACAGTTGATGGACACTTAAGTTGATTTCATATTTTTGCTATTGAGAATAGTGTTGTGATAAATATCTTTTTGATAGAATGATTACTTTTCTTTTGGGTAGATACTCAGTGGTGAAATTGCTTAAAGGGTAGTTCTACTTTTAGTTTTTTGAGAAATAGCCATTCCGTTTTTTATAGAGTTTGTTCTAATTTAAATTCCTACCAATGTATAAGCATTCCCTTTTTTCTACATTCTTGGCAACATCTAGTGCATTTTGACTTTTTATTAATGGCCATTTTGACTGGTGTAAAATGGTATCTTATTATGGTTTTAACTTGCAGTTCTCTCTTGATTAGTAATGTTGAACTTTTTAAAAATATGTTTTCTGGCCATTTGTATGTCTTCTTTTGAAAAATGTCTTTTCATGTCTTTTGCCCATATTTAATTTGACTTAATTGTTTATTTCTTATTGAGTTGTTTGATTTCCTTATAGATTCTGGATATTATTTCTTTTGATGTAGAGGCTTTTTAGTTTAATTAAGTCATAATTAAGTCTATTTTTGTTTTTGTTGCATTTGCTTTTGAGGTCTTAGTCATAAATTCTTTTCCTAAGCCAATGTCCAGAATAATTTTTCCTAGGTTTTCTTCTATAGTTTTTTATAGTGTCAGGAGGTCTTATATTGAAATCTTTAATGCATCTTCAGTTCCTTTTTGTATATGGTACAAGACATGAGTCCAATTTCATTTTTATGCACATGGCTATACAACTTTCCAAGCACCATTTATTAAAAAGAGTGTCTTTTCTCTAGTACATGTTTATGTCTACTTTGTCAAAGATCAGTTGGTTGAGGGCATGTGGCTTTATTTCTTGTAATATCATTTGAAGTCAGATAATGTGATGCTTCCAGCTTTGTTCTTTTTGCTTAGGATTGCTTTGGCTATTTCAGGATTTTTTTGTGGTTTCTTATGAATTTTAGGATTATTTCTTCTAATTCTGTGAAAAGTGATTTTGGTATTTTGATAGGAATTGCATTGAATCTGTAGATTACTATGGATAATACAGTCATTTACACAACATTGGTTCTTCCAATCATGAATGTGAAATATTTTTCCATTTGTTTGTTTCATCCACAATTTCTTTCATCAGTGTTTTGTGGTTCTCCTTATAAAGATCTTTCATCTTCTTGGGTAAATATATTTCTAGCTATTTTATATATTTTTATAGCTAGTATAAATGGGATTGAGTTCTTGATTTGATTCTCAAATTGCTTTTTATAGGTATATAGAAATGTTACTGATTTCTATATGTTGATTTTGTATTCTGAAACTCTAAGGAATTCATTAAACAAATCTAGAAGTCTTTAGGAGGAGTCTTTAGAGTTTTCTACATATAAGAACATATCATCAGCAAACAGAGATGATTTAACTACCCATTTTCCAATTTAGATGCCCTTATCTCTTTCTCTTGTCTGATTGCTCTGGCTAGGATTTCCAGTGGCATGTTCAACACGAATGGTGAAAGTGGCATTCTTGTCTTATTTCAGCTCTTAGGGTGAATGCTTTCAAACTTTTCCCCATTCAGTATGATGTTGGCTGTGGGATTGTCATATACGGTTTTTATTATTTTGAAGTACCTTCCTTGTATAGCTTGTTTGTTGAGAGTTTTTATAATGAAGGGAATTTATTGAATGACTTTGTTGCATCTATTGAGATGATCATATGGTTAATGTTTTTAAGTCTGTGTATTGAATCACAATTATTGAATTGCATGTTGAACCATCCTTTTATCCCTGGAATAAAACTCACTTGATTGAGTGTTCCTGTGAGCCTCTTATATCTGGATGTCTACATCAATTATTTACTCAAATAGGTTTTTACTTTTTCTAGGCTGCCATCAGATACTCAGGTGGGGGCAGCTAGGCAGGCAGTTGTGGGGGAGGCAGGCAACTGTGGGGCATATAGTCCACCCACACCTCGGACTTAGAGCAACCCATAGCAGTGGCAGTGAAATTTGTCTGATATTTGTCCTTGGGGCACACAAAAGTGGCTCCTGCTCTTCCTCTCTGGCCCACCACCCAGGGCTGGATGCAGAGCTTTGAGGCTGGGCTTTCAGAGTAGTGCTGTGCTGCAGCTGCTCATGGCTCAGAAGCCTGTGGGACTCCATATGAGACTAAGCAAACCTCATCAGCAACCTTAACTGGCCCCAAGACTAGAAGTATAGTCTTTTCACTAGACTGAGTTTCACTTTGCTTGGCTGTGAAATGTATAAATGGAGGAAGTGGGATGGTGGTTAGGCGTTTTGAGCCTGTAGAGAGCCAGAGGAAGATGTGCGATAGCTATAGCTTTCACATGGAGGCTAGGTAGGGATGGGAAGCTTTCCCAAAATCAACACGGAGCAAAGAAGCTGCTGGAGTCTGCAGAGAAAGGAAAGAGCAAAGTGGTAGAAGGAACACTGTGGTAGAAGTAGATTTGAGTTTTAGCATTTTTCCTCCACTATTGAATAACAGTTCAGTCACCTAAATTGTCACCTTATGAAAGGGAGAGTTGAGCAACATGTGATCCCACCTACCTATAACTTTCCATTCTTTCCAATTGTATCAAAATTTTATAGCTCTTACAGGGTAGGTGATAGAGCAGACAGATAGAGAGCACTGGTGTCATAATCACTGCACCGGAATTCTAGCTGTGTCAATTATTATGATTACTGTGTGACTTTGGGAAAGTCACTTCACCTTTCTGTGCCTGAGTTGGTATCTACCTTCTAAGGATGGAGATAAAAAAGGAGTTAACATATTTACCACTACTTATAATATTTCGCAGAACATGAAATCACAATATAAGGGTTAACTCTAGTGGGATAACATAACAGAAATATTATAGATGAGGAAAGAGTATATGTGAAGGTATTGTGCAAGCACATAGACAACTACAGTTTAAACTTTGTCACTATCACATGCTTAGCAGAAAGTCAGCAATTTTAAGAGATTGCGAAGCTAACTGAATCACTATCACCATCATTCCCCTCCTCTTCTTCATCCTCACTGCATCTGGCAACAGTTCTGAGGTGGCATTAGAGTGGATTTATTATTATTAATAACTTGAGACAGTGAGGTGTAAGGTGGCATCCCCAGATCCTTCAGCTCCTTCCATGAGAATTTCTCTCTCCACAGGGTCCTCTTGGGGTGTATGTGGCCAGAAGAGGCTCCTTGGTGACTGATATTGGTGCCTAGAACATCAGTTTCTCCCATTCCCACCTTCCCCAAGCAGGTTGCTCCATGTCTTGTCCTACTGCCTCCCTTGTCCTCTTTGTCCCACAGATTGTCCTGTTCCAGCTTCACACACTCTTTGCCTCTCTTCCCCGGGTCCTCCCCTCCCGCTCACCGTCACCATTCCTGGAAGTGCTCTGCTCCTTCCTGGGCTGCTCAGGGCCATGGGAACTAGGCATCTGGTAGCTTCTGCAGAAGGGAAAAGCCTGCCTTGGACTTGGATGGTTTGTCAGCCTGTTTGTGAGAAGGGGACCTCATATGTGACCTCTCCTAAGGTGTACCAGGAAGGGGCTTCTCCTGAAGCTGAATTTTTTGTGTGTGTCAGTGTCCTTCATAGGGCCTCAAACTTCTAGCCTTGTTCTCTGCTTAGAATTCGAATGCAAGACTTTCTTTATAGAGGAGGGATCTAGAGGAACATAGCTTTGTTTCTGCATTTGAGGAATGTATAACTTTTCTGATACTCCATTCTCAAATTATTTAAATAATTGGTGGCTTGATACTGTTTGTGTTTCTGACTGTTCAAGGATGTTAGATTTTTGAGGAGGGAGAGTTCATTAATTTTTCCTGTTTTGTAACAGCCGAGTTTTTTTTTTTTTTTTATGTTCTGAGTCCTTTATTCCATGGGCCAGTGGTAAGACAGGAGAAAGGGAGAGATGGAGGCACTGAGTTGTTTCCTCTCCTTCCAAGTTTCCATCAAATATTCTGGTTAGCTGACCTCATTTTTTTGTCACCTGTGCTAAGACTTGCTTATATTTGTGCTAAGATAGTACAGAACAAGTTCTCATGAACCAAACACACAAACATGACTATGGTGCTGGTGTATGTAAAAGACAAATTAAATTACAGATGAAGGATTTTAAGATCTTGCTTTGGGACCTGTGGCCATATGATTAGTTGGTGGTTATTTATTGAAATTAGGTCTCAGAAAGCTGGATGGGTTGAATAAGGAGATAACTAAATAGAGATAAGTCAGCAAATTTTGTTTAGGTAATAAAGTGATCCTGAAGCAGAACCGCTTCTCTTGAATCTACCTCCAATACATCATAGCTGCTTGATCTTGGGGATGTCATTTAGCTCTTCTCTGACCTTCAGTATCTTCACCTGCTAAATATAGATCCTAGTAGTACCTAGTAGTACCTATAT